ACCAGGATGCAACTAAAAAAGAGAACTGCAGACCAATCTCCTTAATGAATATAGATGCAAAAATCCTTAATAAGATACTAGCAAACAGAATACAGAGGATTATCAAAAAGTTCATACATCCTGACCAAGTTGGAGTTATTCCAGAGATGCAAGGGTGGTTCAACATATGAAAGTCAATAAATGTAATACGCTATATTAACAAAGTCAAGGACAAAAACCATATGATCCTCTCAATAGATGCAGAAAAAGCATTTGATAAAATTCAACACCCATTCATGATAAAAACCCTGCAAAAAATTGGAATAGATGGTCTATACCTCAACTTAATAAAGGCTATCTATGAAAAACCAACAGCCAACATCATATTAAATGGCCAAAAACTGAAAACCTTCATGTTAAAATCAGGAACAAGACAAGGATGCCCACTATCACCACTCCTCTTTGATATAGTTCTGGAAACATTAGCCACAGCAATTAGACAAGAGAAAGAAATTAAAGCAATAAAGATAGGAAAGGAAGAAGTTAAACTATCATTATTTGCTGATGATATGATACTCTACATTGAAGACCCAAAAAACTCTACCAAAAGACTTCTAGACTTAATTGACAGATTCAGTAGAGTATCTGGATACAAGATGAACACCCAAAAATCAATAGCCACCTTATACACAAATAACAGACTCACTGAGAGAGAAATAAGGGAAAAAATTCCTTTTACAATAGCATCCAAAAAAATGAAGTATCTAGGAGTCAATCTAACAAAAGAAGCAAAAGATCTCTACACTGAAAATTATAGCAGTCTGAAAAAAGAAATTAAAGAGGATATAAAAAAATGGAAAGATATCCCCTGCTCCTGGGTAGGAAGAATCAACATAGTGAAAATGGCCATACTACCACAACTGCTATATAGATTCAATGCAATGCCAATTGAAATTCCAACACTATATTTCACAGAACTAGAAAAAAATCCAAAAATTCATTTGGAACCATAAGAGACCTAGAATAGCAAAAGCCATCCTAGGCAACAGACACATGGCAGCGGGTATACCAATTCCCAATTTGAAACTATACTACAAAGCCACTGTGATAAAAACAACATGGTACTGTCAAAGAAAGAGGCCTGAGGATCAGTGGAACAGAATGGAAGACACAAAAACAAATCCAGATGTACTCAGCTATGTCATCTTTGAGAAAGGAGCTGACCATCCCCACTGGAGGAAAGATAGTCTCTTTAATAAATGGTGTTGGAAAACCTGGATCTCAACCTGCCACAGATTAAAACTGGACCCTTATCTTTCACCATGCACTAAATTAAAATCCAAGTGGATTAAAGATCTAAATATTAAAACAGAAACACTAAACTTGCTGGAAGATAAATTGGGCAGAACTCTTGAAGACACTGGTATAGGAAAAGACTTTATGAACAAATCCTCAGTAGCAGGGGAACTAGCAGAAAGAATCAACAACTGGGATCTCATCTTATTAAAAAGCTTCTGTACTACAAAAGAAACAATCAGCAGAACTAAGAGACAACCTACAATGTGGAAAAAAATTTTTACCAGCTGCTCCTCAGACAAAGGACTATTATCTGGAATATATAAAGAACTCAAAACAGCCCCCCCAAATATAAAGACCCAATTTAAAAATGGGCATCTGAAATGAACAGACATTTCTCAGACAAAGAAGTAAAAGCAGAAAGTAAATATATGAAAAAATGTTCCACATCACTGGTCATTCGAGAGATGCAGATGAAAACAACACTGAGATTCCACCTCACCCCACAAAGAATGGCTGCTATCAAGAAATCACACAATAACAAATGTTGGCTGGGTTGTGGGGAGAAAGGAACCCTTCTCCATTGTTGGTGGGAGTGCAGACTGGTGCAACACTATGGTAATCAATATGCAGATACCTCAAAGAGCTTGGACTGGAGGTTCCATTTGACCCAGCCATCCCTCTGCTGTGTATCTTTCCAAAAGAACTAAAAGAATCATATCACAGAGAAGTATGCACACCCATGTTTATAGTGGCACAGTTTGTAATAGCTAAAACTTGGAAACAGCCCATTTGCCCATCAGTTGGAGACTGGATAAAGAAGATGTGGTTTTTCTGTAAACTGGAATATTACTCAGCCATAAAGAATGAGAAAATGGATTCATTCATAGGAAAATGGATTGAGGATATACTCCTAAGTGAAATAAATAAGTCACACATGTGTAAATACCGAATAGCTTCTCTGGTGTGAATAATCTGCAATAATACAGAAGATCCTAATAAGATTACTGACATTGAGAAATGGGAAGAAAGGAGCTAAAGGTGTAGGGAAGGTGGGATGGGTAGGGGAAGGGTAAAAAGGGAAAAGAAAAAAATGTGAGAAAATGAAAAGATGGAAATAAAGTGTTTGTAGATGGGGAGGGGAGGAAAGGGTGAAGGGAGGGCAGGGAGAAGGGGAAAATGAGAACCAAGACTTGTCATGTAGAGGTACAAGATCCCAACAATGAATGTAACTGTATTGTATCCCTAAAATGTACCAATAAACTCAATTAAAGCTGAAAAAAATATGTATTTAAAATATGTAGCTTTTCTATAATGTTTGATGTTAAGAAAAATAAGCTACCTGACACAGTTTGGACACTGAGGCTCATATAAGGTTGCCTGTTTTGCCTCCATGTCTAAAAAATATATGGTTTGTCTGTTTTGCTGCAGAAGGGAGTGACTGGGGCATGGTCTGATGAGACCTGTTGATCGCATATGATACAGGCAGAACAGCTGTGCCAAAGGGCCAGAAAAATCTGTCAGTGTACGGTTCTTACTGTGCTCACTTCTAAGGGCTATTTGCTTTCAACAGTTCCCCAGGTGATAACAAAAGTGATTCACCGGGAGTGAAATGAATTCTCAGGTTTAGGCAAACTCTTCAGAAGTGATGTGACCTTTGAAACTTTCTGATGTGTGGAAACATCTCATATATTTTCTTAAGGACTTTATATTCTGATCCACAGAAATCACTTGAACAATTAATTACGTTACCCTGGCTCTGTAATTGTTTGGTGCTTAACCTTTGTCTTATACTCCTGGTTAATAAACTTCCTTATTATATACTTTATATGTTTTTCCATCCTCCAAAGTACTGCAGAAGCAGGCAGACCAGTGGTTCCATTAACACCAGTTTCACTGTCAAGGACATTTGGCATTTCCAGTGATTTTTCAGATCCAGCAGATTCATGACTCCATGATATCTAATTAGTAATATTTTAGTGTCCTTGGTCCCTGGCAATGACCTGCAGAAACACCTTCATCAGTGAGCCAAAAGTGCACATTCAGAACACAGCTTCCAGCAGCAGACAAGTGTGTGGTCAGTGTAACCTTGAAGAGTTCACGGAAGGGGAGGGCACGTGAGGAAGTACAGATAGATACTTTACTGATTTGCTTTGATTGCATCTGTTTTGCAATCATTGTTGATGAGCACTTTCCGTATCACTGCTGAATTATAAGATATCCTGGATTTTCTGATTTTCATCCCTGCCTTTTTCTGACATGATTTACTGGTGGCTGCTGTATGTTATTTTAAAGTTGTTAGACAGCACGCATTAAGAAAAATGAATCATTTTCATTGAAGTATTATGATAATATGATGTCTAACCGAGACATTCTTCATTTAACGACCTCTCTGCTTAAAGGTGGTTCGGCCTTACAACTGAGGTGTGCTGTTCAGACTTACAACCTGCCAATCAGAGTTAAGGACCCATTTTTTTGTTTGTTTGTTCAGTTCTGTACATTTTGTTTATAGAGCCTCAATATTTTTTTTTGTACAGTATACCTTACTTATATAGTACTGCAGTGTTTGCCGATTGTCCTGTATAATATAGTACTATCGTTTTATGTTCTGTTTTACATTACAGTACTGCATGTAAGGGTTATCAAGTTGGAGTTTCCTTTAACCATTTCTTTGTTCTGACTATGGTAATGTACACACTGTTTACAATTACTCATTTAGCGACCAATTGATTTAATGACCTAGCTGCAGGCCTGAACTTGGTCATTAAATGAGGAGTGTGTATTCTAGATCCGTGGTATTGTTTAAAAATCACATTCTAGGAGTATTTTCTGGAAGCCACCATTTCCAAATTGCTACCAGCAGGATGCTTTTATTGTTGGCTGTTCCTCTATGGAATTTAATAAATATTCATCAGCAGAGCACAGCATAATTCATTCAGCCACTTTCATTTTTAGCAGCTCTATAGGAGGCTTTAGACTTTGCCAGGAACCTCTGGGAGTCACCAGTGGTTAACAATAAGAAGCTTTTGTGGGTTGTTGTAGGGAGGGGTGGGAAAGAGAAAACAGAGTTGACATCTGCTGTCGGAAGCTACTTTCTGAAGCTTATCAGGAGTCACACAGCACTGCGAGCATTCTCGGGGTGAGGGACTCTGGGTATTCTGAGATAAACTATATAAAGCCCCAGTACATTTTTAAATGAGTGGTTAGGAATCAAGTTAATTCATGGTGATTTATCAGACAGAAATCATTTAATATATCAAGTTAATTCTTATGGACTCTTTAAGTCTGGTTGCATGTTTTAGCAATTGCTTATTTTCAAATCATCCATCAGCATGGATTGTGCAAATTATCTTTCAATCTTCAAAGACAAAATAACAACTTTATAAAGTTATTTATAATGACAAATAGCCCCCTTTCCATATAAGGCATGAGTTCAACTATTCTAAATGTCTTTTGGAAACAACACATAGACACATTACCAGCACAAAAATCTATTCTCAACAACTTACTTATCAACAATTGACACTTTCTCCAGTTTTCTAAAACGTCTGTCAAAACATCTTTCCACCCGGGCCTGCCTGACCCATGAGATACTTTGCCAATGAGTTTACAAATACTGCTTAAGGAATACAGTACTTCTGGCATTCTGACTTGCATGTTTCTACAGTTTTATCTATAAATTTATGTTTCGCATTGCCTACATTCTGGCTTGTCTTTCTACTTACTGGAACGCCTGTGAAAGTGATTGGGGGAGACTGCCAAGAAATGCTGAAGCTGCTGCCGTTGGGGGTGAACTTGGCTGACCCTGGAATGGTCACAGGGGGTGTAGCCTGTGAAGTGGAAAGCAGAGAAGGCTGTTATGAAGGAACATTTGTCCTCAGAGCCATAAGCTGTCACTACCAAAGTACAACCTCAGGAATGGTCTCAGCTGTATGACTTACTTAGACTAATTAGCTAATAGGTGGAGATTAAACAGGGTCAAAGGGAGTAGCTAGAAACAGACTTTGCATGTACCCAAGCAATCTATCTAAGTAAGAGGTGGCTTTTGACTGGTAGTTTCTGAGAAAAAATTTATGATTTTAAGAAACCTATACACTATTCTTCACTATCAAATTGCGAAATATATACATGGTGAATAAACTAGAAAATGATGGGTGTGAACATTGGTGCAACATTTTGGGAGTGTAATTTAGCAGCATGTATCAAAATTCTTAACATTCTGTGAATTAGCTATTCTACTTGTAAGAATTCACTCTCAGGAAAAGGATTCCAGGATGTTCACTGCAGAACCAGGTACTAGATATTAAAGCCTGAAAAGAACATAATGTCCAGTAATAGAGAAAAGGCAAAGCATCTCACATGATATACCCAAGGAACCATTAAAATGTTGTTGAAAAGATTCACCAGTATGGGGAAATGCTCATGATAGATTAAGTGGGGGGGGCAGAGTAATGCAGTGCTGTGATAGATTTCTTTTTTAAAATGTATATTCATAGACACATAAAACAAAGTATTAAAGGACATACAACAAATATTGACCAAGGGGCTCTCTGGTTACTGGGACTATGAGTGAGTTTCTTTTCTTGATATGTGTTCAGTACTTTCTATGCTATTTATAAAATGTAGAAAAAAGTCATAATTCTATGGATATAAGTTTTGGCAAGAGCCTTCTAGATCACATAGTGTGTGTCCCAAGTCTTCATTATATAGATGAGCAAGATGGTTTGACTTTGTTCAAGACCATGATTTTTGACCTAGGAGTAATACTAGTAAGAAATGATAGATGAATGAATTCTTTTTGACTAACACAGTAAAGGTCAAGAATGAAATTTATTACATTAAGCAATTTAATCATTAATTGTTCAATGAGTATCCAATTGTTCTTGAGTTCAAGTCAGCTAAATGGGAGGCTGAATTCTTCCTTTATAGGTTTAGTTTTTCTCTTACAAATTTATTGGCTGGTGACAGTAATTTTGTAAATGGTACCAGTGGAAAGTATTTTGGAAATACATAGCAAGATCCATCAACTGTTCACTCATGTTCCAAATGTAATAATAATTTCTCTTCTGAGGATTTAAAGAAAAAAAAAAGTTATAGGGAGGGAGATATTCATGGTAGTTTTTAATGCTAAAGAAGAAAGGATAGACCCCAAACCAGAGATTACTAATCAGAGAATGATTAAAAAACAATTTGGTGTTTCAATTTGGTTGGCTATTACTTGGTTACATTAAAAAGTTTTGTAAAACAGGGATGGAAGAAGACAATTCAAGTATGTAAAGGAGATTTTAAAAAAGCTGCATAAGATAGTTGAGAATTACAGGGTATTACAGCTTTAGCCATGTCCCACCTCGGCAGGGTTCATCTCTAACATCGATCAGACTTGGGTGGGAAGCCGGATCTGCTGGAGGGGCCGGGGCCGCACAGCCTGCTGGCTCTACTCCTTGCCCTGAGCCAGCAGGTATGAGGCGGGACCCTAAGAATTTCCATTTCTCACAAGATCCAGGGACACTGTTGAGTGGGGGACACTGAAAACCATAGCTCTTGTCCGAGGGGGTCAGCCACCCATTTACAAGGCAGGGTAGGTAGCCCCAGATTTGGGGTGCAGGGGGTTCTTTCACTGTGCCAAAGCTTTCCACGGCTCATCTTTTCATTTATTTTATTCTTAATGTTATACATATAATGTGCCAAGCACCGTCCTGACGGCTTTATAATATGAAGGATTTTAATCCTAACAATCTCTAAGGATTCAGATCTACAGCCAGCATCGGGGAACCTGAGAATAGTCCACAGGGCTCATTGGTATGAGATCTTGGGTTTATAAAGAGAAAGAAAGAAGCCAACCTAGCTACTGGGGCTTAGTCCATGGTGCTGTTTTCCCACTAAATTATCTTTCACCCCCAGGCAATTCAACCTCTGCTTCCAGCCAGGCTGGAGCTGCTCTCCCCTTCCCTGCCAGTCACCTGGTAAGCATGGTCCGTGTGCACGAGGTAGAGGGTGGTGGGAGCCGAACGGCTCAATGGTGTCATGAGCTTAGTCTCACTTTTGGCAGAAGGAGTTTCTGTCCGGCTTGATTCGGGGATGGGGAAAGTTGGAGGCGAAGCCAGGGGCTGAGAGGGCGACACCGGAGCCAGGCCGCTCAGTCCTTCCGCCACCGAGTCTGTGTGCAGCTTGATCTCAGTGTAGTAGAAGTCCTCTTCCCCATCGCTGTAGTCAGAGTCCCCAACACGTCTAGTGCAGAAGGAAAAACAGACATGCTAAACCCATCTGCTCTCCCGTCATCCTGTGCATGCTGGCGCGGTGTGCCTGCCTTTAATGCCTGCACTCCTGAGGCTGAGGAAGGAGGACTGCAAGTTCCAGTTCAGTCTAGGCAATTTAGCGAAACCCTGTCTTAAAATTAAAAAATGGGAAAGGTCTGGAGATACAGCTCAGTGTGAGGGCCATGGTTTAATCTCCAGCACTACAAAACAACAACACTACCACCACCACCGCCACAAGACAAAACCAGAAAGTTAGCCCCCAGATTCTCATGTTAATGATTACGTGGAAATGCGGCCTGTGGGAGACTATTAGGGTTCCATGAGGGCATGTGGGTGTGGCCCCACGATGGCATCAGTGGCTTTCTGTGGAAGAGGAAGGGAGAACTAAGTGGGCTTTCTGTGTCTCAAATGCTGTGTCCCCCACAAGACCCTCACCAGATGTGAGCAGATGCCAGTGCCATGCCCTCAGCTTCCCAGCCACCAGAGCCAGGAGCCAAATAAACTCCTATTTAAAAATTACCTGGAGCAGTTATTTGGTTGTAGTAACAGAAAACAGACTTAAGACAATCTCTTAACATAATCAACCAGTCAATGCATCCCTTCATTCAATCGTCTGACAGCAATTTGCTGAAAGCCTATTATTTTCAGACTACTTTAGGGATGCTTGATATCCCAGTGAATAAAGCATAGACTCTGCCGTGATGGAACTTACAGCCTAGTGGGAGAGGCAGACAAGAAAGCCAAACATTCAGAGACATTTTATGTATCATGAGTTCAGAAATCCCAGAAAGAAGCATTAAACAGCCTAGAAGTGCTTTTAAGTGAAGCATCTTATTCACTTTCTCTTCACTGGGACAGAATTCCTGACACCTGCCACTTAAAGGAGAGAGGTTTATTCTGACTCATGGTTATAGTCTGTGGTCAGCTGGCGCCACGGCAGAACTGGCGTGGCCGAGGGCACAGTGGAGGAGAGCTGCTCACGTCATGGCAGCCAGGAAGTGGAGGGAGAAGGGAGGCATGGGGAGGGGACACACCCTTCCTGGCCACAGCCACAGTGACCCACCTCCAACCGGGCCCCTCCCAATGCACACTCAGCTACGGAACTCATTCGTGGACGCATCCTCTGAAAGTACAAGGTGTCCACCATCCAATCACCTTCCCCAACTCTGGCTCTGAGGGCTCTGGGTGACATCCCAGATCACCACACCACGGGGTGACTGGGACAGGCATTGTGCATTGTCCCGAGCAAGGCTTCTGAGGAGGTGGCATTTCAGCGGATGCTCATGGGACTAACGGGAGGGCGAGAGCACACCAGAACCCGCGGGAAGGAAAGGAGGCCTCAGGCGGATCAGCCTGGTACTCTCCACTCAGGGCCGAGAGGCAGTGGCTACAGCACAGGGAAAAGAGCGGTGGCAGAGACACGCAGGGCTTCACTGCCAGGCAGCGGCCTCAGCCTTTATTATGGGTGGCTCTGGGGAACGTGAAGTGTTTTCTGAAAGGACCTCTGTGAATGTGGTCTGGAAGGCAAACAGGACTGGAGGGCATGCGCATGAACCGATGGCTCCAGGGGAGGTGATGCCACGGGGATCCAGATGGGCACTGATGGGCTGCCGAGGGCACCAGTGGCCACACGAAGAGAAGGTGCAGGCTGTGTGTGAGGGAGAGGAGTTACTGTGCTCCCCTAGAAGTGTTTTCATCACTTAAATTAACTACGCACCGTATTTATGTATTCTCTTTGGACCTCTCTGGCATCTCACTGAGGCTCCAGGGCCACGGCTGGTGCTGATCTGTGTTCCTCCACACCTCTGTGTCCGTTAGAGTGGGCACCTGGGAAACGCCAGCTGCCGGCTGAATGAACCAAGCTGAGGATGCTGTCACTAGGGACTGAGACCATGAGTCACAGGCTCAGAGCTGACGGACCCCTCCTACCTGTGGGGGCAATGAGTCCAGCCCACCCGCAGCTGCTGTGCCTCGTTCCTTCAGTACAAAAATGGGGATGATGAAAAAAATACCCGCTGGATGTGAGGTGAGGACTCGGTGAGCGGCACTGGACAGGTAACAGGTACCAAGAGTACTTATCACACGAAAGCAAGGTCTATGTTAGAGGGTCCAGCTCTCAGTATCACCAGCAGTGTCGTCCAAGGTGCTCTGAAAGTTCTCCCCGAGTCAAGGAAAATCGCACTTTCCCACAGCAAGTTTTGAGTAGAACAAAATAACTGTCCATTACCTTAGCAACATGATCAGCCTGTTCACTCTTAGGGACGTGGTGCGTGTCTGGCACCGGTCTTTGGGGCTGGCAGGGAGAGGCCACGGCACCCTAGAGTTCATGGTCACATCCAGTAGCAACTACAGATCCCTGGCTCAGGACAAACCTGTTTTCCCCCAAAGAAGCCCACATAGGCCCTCCCTGACCCTCCACGGGCCTCTCTGTTCTCCAAGATCAGCAGCCTCTCCCAGCAGTCCCATTCCCTGAGCTCCCTGCAGAGGTGTCTGGGAGGGACTGCTGTACCACAACAGGTCTGGCCCGGCCGGCCCTCTGACCCGCTATATCAAAAACCCCAGAGAGCAGGACCGAGAATGAACATCTGTTCTATTCCCATCTGCATTTCCTGTCCAAAGGCCAGCGGGCTGCATGGCTCCTCGCAGCCAAGTGCTACTAATAGATACACAGGGTGGGGGGGAGATCCTTCCGGTGGGACGACGCAGGCTCGGCCCCTGGTGTACAAGCACAGGGTGAGATTTAAGAGAACCTCGGTGCAGTTTTTATACTGGCACGGTGTGTACACTGCACAGCATCCCAGGCAAGATATGCTTCCTCTGGGCTTTGATATGCTTCCTCCCTGATTCCCCACAGCCAACACCCACTGAAAATGCCCCATCCTCCTACAGTCTGTCCTGGAGCTCATGGACTAAGAAAGGGTGATGGTCTCTCATAGCTTTTCATGAACATAAAAGTAGACCCTGTAGCCAGGGGAACAGAAGCCCAGTCTTAATGGGCTTCTACCCTGCTCTGAAGGCATTGGCATGCCCCCAAATACCAGCCTGTAGAGGGAGGGAGCCCAGGCCCCTACTTCTTTCCATAGTCTCTGAATCTCATGGATTACGAAAACCACCTTAGAATCCATTTGCATTTTTGCATATATTGCTTTTTATCAATGGTGTATTTCCTAAATGTATCCCTTGTGCTCATTTTTCCATTCATCTTGTAAAAAGAAGTCTTCTGTGTCCAAGCACACAGACTTGGCCAGGTGTCATGTTTGACTTGTACACACTGGTTAATGCTTTTCAGGGCCCCTTCTAAATTCCAGTCACCTGAACAAGACAGACTCAGGGTAAAAGCGTGAGCTGCTGCCCGATGCTGTGCTCTGCTGTGAGCCCCAACTGCTACAGCTCCCAAAGTTCCATTTTAACTGTCCTTAGAAAGGCTCTTTTAGGATAAGAGGCAAAGTGTACATTTTACAGATAAAGCACTTATTCGGGCGACAGGAAGACTGAATCAGACCAAGAGGCATTTTTTTTTTTTTGTGGTACTAGAGGTTGAACCCTGGGCCTTCACACTGAGCTACATCCTCAGACCCCCAACCCACCTCTTTTGGAGACAAGGTGTTGCCAAGTGGCTAAATTTCCCAGGATGGGCTCAAATTTGCAATCCTGTTGTCTCAGCCTCCTGCGTGCTGGGATTACAAGTGTGCACCACCACGCCCAGCCACCAAGAGGCGTTTTAAGAAGAGTACAGCAGTGTGGTTTGGTGCAGTAATTCTTAAATCTTTTTAGGCAAGATATCCCTTTGAGCCCCAAAGTCACAAGTACTCTTTACTAGAAAAATAAATACACATTTCATTTTACAGACAATTTCAGGGGTTCAGGGATCCTTTGAATCACAACTGCAGATTAGGAGCCCCTATGCTAGTTGACTCAGGAAAAAAATCCTTGTGCCTTGCCTTGTAACATCTGACCGGCAGTGGCCGCCTAGAGATAAGAACAACGACCTGTCCTGGCATCCAGAGTTTCTAAGGCACAACTCAGAGCTTGATCTCCGTGCTGGCCGGCAGCCTGGCTCGACCCTCTGGAGCCCACTCCACTGTGCAAGGAGGGCAGCCTTACCCGAGGTGGATGGTCCGGATGTGTTTCTGGATACCTGCTGCAGTGCTCAGCACCTTGCCACAGTTCTTCCAGAGGCATTTGAACATCACCTTCATGGAGTTCTACGACAGGGAGAGAAAAGTTACATTACAATGAAAACTAACCATTCAGTATTTGTCTTTTGCTATCTCACCACAGTTCTCCTTCATTAGAAAAGCGACAGCTCCTCTCCGCTCTAGACCAGAACTCAGCACACCATTCTCAGAACTTCCTGGGCTGGTGTATTGTGGTGACCTCAGATATGTCCCTATTTCTTTAAGAAAACTGAACTCTACTGGAATTTTTCAGACCATGTCCACAAAGGTGGTCACAGTGGCTAATAGTCACCGAACACCTGTTAGGTGCTGTGCTATTCTAAGTGTTTACCTCATTTAATCCTAAAAGAGGGATGCTATTATTAATCTCCATCCTACAGATGCTCAGGTACCCAGGCAATGACCTGGCTACTGGCAGAGATGTACAACAGCTCCAGGAGTCTGGCTCTGGAAGCTTCCCTTCCCATCAGTGCACAATACCATGTTTTCAGTGAAGGTCTCGGTATTTTTCAAAAATAGTTCAGCACAGTGTTTGAAGGTACTATGTCGGACTTATTTTTCAAGTCCCAAAGTTCTTATTTATAAAGTAAGAACAATAACAGTACCTGCGTCATGGTTTTGTTCTGAGGATCAAGTGAGGTCATGGGAGTGAATCATGTAGCAGAGCCCCAACAGGAATAAACTTTCAATTCTCAGTAGCCACCATGGCATGATGTTGACTGTGCTTCCTGTAATGAGTCTGGTGGGGTAAGTCTCGTGGGGAAGAGGGGGTCGCTCATCTCTGGGGTGCCATCTCTTTGCAAACTGTTTCCATGGGCTCAGTGACAGTCACCTCCATGTGCTCATGGAGCCCCAGTTGCTTTTCCTCCCTGCACACAGCCAGAGCTCATTTCCCAGCCTCCCTTGCAGCCAAGAAGGGTTTTGTCAGTGAGTTAGGACTCATGGAACAGGGCAGAAGGGACACACATTCCTTTGAAGTCTCATCCTAAACTACTTCCCAAATGCTACTCCCAACCCAATCTGTTAACTTGCTGGATCTGTTGGCCCAAGAATTAAGGGGCTGAAGATCCACTAATTCAGAAGTTCTTCATCTTTTGTTTGTCGTCAACTATTTTGGCAGTCTGGTGAAACTTATGGATCCCTTCTCAGAATAGTTCTTTATAATGTTTAAAATAAAATGTAAGAAAAAATAAAACAAAATTAAAAGAAAAGCAAGTATATTGAAATATACTTATAAAAAGGTTAAAAATGTTATACTATGGCAATATTATACTCTTTAGTCTAGATTACAAGATCTTGAAGTGGGTCTTATAATAACTGTAACTTCAGAGTAGTATTAAGCATAAATACTTATACTATCTAATAAAATTATGTCATATGGATTCTATGATTCTACTGGTATTTGGTGCTAATATTATTAGGATTTGATGCTTTAATCAAAATTGCAGGAAATGTCAGATTATAGTTAAGATAATAATAAGGATTTTTTTTTTTTGAGACAGAGTCTCACTATGTTTGAGACTGACCCAGAACTCACTATGCAGCCCAGGCTGGTTTCAAACTCACAGTGATCCTCCTGCCTCAGCCTCGCGAGTGCTGGGATTACAGGTGTGTGCCACAATGCCTGGCTGATGACAATAAGGATTTACTTTTCCCCCATCCAAATTCATAGCCTCCCCTACCTCTAAATTCTGCACCACCCTTTGGGGATCTGTGAACTCCAGGCTAAGACTCCTGCACCAGAATGAAGGACTTTGAGTCCCTGGGGGGGCTGTGTGCATCAAAGTCCCCTTCCCCCTCCACCTCCCCATTGACTTAATTGGACTGTGACATGAGAAACAAATAAACCTGTGGTGTACCAAGCTTCTGAGGTCTGCATGACAACATACACAGCAGTGGTAACTCCTTGTCTGCACGGAGGAAACCTATGTAGCATTGTTTATATGTCTACTAGTGTTAGGAGCAATTCTACATAATTTTGGGTAAAATCATTTCACAATTAAATTGTGATCAGGCCTCATTTTCCTGCCTACAGGCTGGCTATGGCATGTTGAGACATAGCTCCATTTTTGCCTCTGGTAACAGCTGAGACCTCAATGGTCCCATGATGCTATGACACTCCAGGGCAGGATTACATCAGCTGAAGACATCCTGGTTTCTTAAGAACTGAGTAGTAAGTGAAAAGTTTCACCTGGGGAGGGACAAATTCCTAATCAACATAAATTCCTCATCATCCTAGGATTATTGCTGGCCTTGGAGTCATCTGTTACCCTCAATGAACTGACTAAAGTTGTGGCAAGCTTGAAGTGCCTTTGTCTTTGCTGCCCAAAGAAACATTGATCAGGCCCAAAGGTCAGCTTGTTCTCTATGTCTCGTTTCCTGTCTTTATTCATTAATTTGCCTTGTGCCGTTGTGGCTCACAGAAGACCAGGACTCACTTGCAGGAGTTCTGGTAACATCCCCATTCCCTCTTCCCTACCTACTAGGACTTCTGCTATGGAGTTCCTGGGTTCCTACCACCCTATCCCCAGGTCTATGAAGCCACCATTCACACACTGAAAAGATGACTCATCATGCTACACTGATGGGTCCTCATCCAGAAGATGATTCTAGACAGCCACTCCCCACTGAGGACTTTCCCTAGGTTTCCCAGTTGAAAAAGGACTTGGAAGCATTTGGAACTGAAGAGCTTCTGTGAGCTGAAAAACAGATGCTTTTGGCCCAACAAGCAGAGGACAAAGCCCAGCAGCATGTTAGGAGGAGATCTGTGATCACGGAAGAGGCCCACAGTTCCTGTGGGTTTCATGAGCTCCATGTGCTCCAGGGGCTCTGGAGAGTGACAGCATTCACAGCTGCCCAGTGACTTTGCAGCTCCCATACCCTCAGCAGGCTCTATACAGTATGCAGAGGGGGCTGAGGCTGTGGGAGGGCTGTGAGGAGATTCTCCCACGGTTGTGTTCCTCATAAGCAGACCCCTGAGCTTCTGACTCCCTCATCTCCTTGGGCCATGGATCTAAATACACAGGATGTGACATAGGCCCAAGGGAAGATTTAAATCTAGCCCCCAACTCCCAAAGTGCACAAAAGGAATTCTTCTTGGTATTTTTAGCTATTTTGTTTAAAACATATAATTTGACCTAGCAATATTAAGTGCCTTTTGCCCATTTTTCAAATGATAAAGTTATACTATAGACGATCTCTCCCAAATAAGGGAATTAATGTCTCAAACCAAAACAGGTATGTGAGGCTCCAAATATCTGTCTGGATATGAAGTCTTGATAGACAAAAACACTTTTTGATTCATTCTTAACCTTTTGTTGATAGTATTCTTTCATTCACTAAATAAAATATCTTTTTGGAAAAGACTATTCCAGGTGCTGGGAACAGAGAGCAGAAAATGCAGCTGCTCACAAGGAAATGAAATCCTGGTGGGAAAAGAATGCAGTATATAGCAGGTGGCTTTGAGTTGAGATCTGAGGGCTGAAGGAACAGCCATGCTAAGAGCTAGTTTTCCAAGGCTTAAAGACAGGAAAGAGTGGAGCAAGGCCAAGGGGCAGAAAGAAAGATGTTTAAAGTGAAATAAGGGAGTAATCTGTTTGAGATGAGGCAGGGCCAGATTATGTAGGTGAAGATAAGGGATGTGGATTTTATTTTATTTTATTTTAAAAGAAAAGTCAGTGGGGCTGGAATAGTGGTGCACACCTATAGTCCCAGCACTCTGGGAGGCTGGGGCAGGAGATTCACAAGTTCAAGCCCAGCCTGGACAGCTTAACAACTTAATAAGACCCTGTCTCCAAAAAAAGGTGCAGGGGGCGGTGCTAGAGACGTAGCTCAGTGTGAAGGCCATGGGTTCAACCACAGTACTCTCCCCAGCCCCAAAGTAGAAAAATCACAAGAGAAGTGGAATGACATTTACAGTTTAGGTTTAAAAGATTATTAGTTACTTTTGGGGGAGAGAGCAAATCACATCACCAGTATGGATGCTTTGGCAGGTTAGAAAGGAGAGTGGCTCAGAATATCTGGGCCCTGAGTGTGAAGGAAAGTGGGCACATTCAGGATGGATTGTGGTAGCAGTCCCAGCAGCTCTTGCTGCTAACTGAACATGAGGAATGACCAAAGGGATGGTACGAAAGAAGACTTCTACGTTTAGGTTTGAAAAAGCGTGTGAATTGTGATTGTTTTCACTATATTAATTTTGAGGTCACTATTATATATAAAAAGGACATAGCAAGCAGGATGCTAGATATATGAGCCTGCAACTCAGGCATGTCAGAACCAGATATGAAAATCTGGAGTCAGGAGCAGGAGCATTTACAGCTTGTGCAATAGAAAATGCAGCAGAGACGATCAGAGTGTCCAGGACACTGGGACACTCAGTGTTTCAGGCTGCAGCCTGAGATGCAGAAAGAAGAGAGAGCAGCAACCAGGATCAACAGATAGAAGAAAGCACTTCGGGAAGGAAGTATGACTCACAGCGCTGAACAAGGACTGGGGAGTGTCCCTTGAATTCAGCATGTGGAGACTACTGGTGACCCATTCAACAGCAGGATTTGTAGCGAGGTAGGGATGAATATCAGGACTGCAGAATAAGTGGAATTTTAAGGTTAGGGAGAAAGTAAGTGTCAACTTTCTCAAGAAATTTTGCTGGCCTATGCGCAGTCAGAAGAAGGTCTATGGACATGAAGGGCACTAAAATGGGTTTTTTCCACGGATGGGAAGGATTGCAAAGACAAGAAGCTGATGGTGCCTTCCAGGCGTGGGTTCACTGGAGGGTGAATTCCACAGCAGATATCAGAGGTAAGCACTGGCACCTACGGCAGGCAGAAGCACTGCCTTAGACGTGAAGGAACAGTGCCGAGTGGTAAAAGGAGGGGAACTGGCTGGCAGATATGGATGCAGTTAGCTCACCAGTTTGGGACAGGAGAAAAGAAAAGCATCCCTGTTTCTAATATCTCCGTGAGGTAGGAAGTGAGGGGGTGGCCGAGGGCAGAGAGGGAGGCTGTGTGTGAGATTGAGGAGACCAGATA